GCCTGTAATCTGCCATGGGCCCCCGTACCGACTCCTCATGCTGCTGCCAGGCCCGTAATCTGCCATGGGCCCCTGTACCGCCTCCTCATGCTGCTGCCAGGTCCAGAGTGTGTCATGGGTCCCTGTACGGCCTCCCATTGCTGCTGTCTCTATCGCCACACTCTGCCATGTGCCACTTTCAGGTCTCCTCACACTGCTGGTGGTTTCCATTTTTGTCATAGGGTGCTGTATGGCCTCCCATTGCTGCTGCCTCCACCGCCACACTGTGGCTCCACACTCTGGTTTTGGCCCCGTGACTGGCCAAATGAGTGAAGTGTGCGGTGATTCTAAGATCGACGGCACTCATCTGCATGTCATACTGCCTGACAGTATTATTTCTCTTCCCCAGCAGACTCCAAGGGCATTTAAATTAAAGGTACAGTGTTCAGCACTAATATTAAGTCTCTCTGAAGCCTAGAAACACCCTTTTTTAAGTTAAATTCACAGCGAATATATTCGACTCGAATCAAAATTTTTCCACGAATTCGCCGAATCAGTCGAATCGAATTTTTGAATACTTCGCTCATCTCTAATTATGATCAAGTGTCCAGAAACTTTTGCTCATAGAGTATTGAAATATATAATAGTTTGGGGACAATTTTATTTTCCTACTTAAGGTTTTTTAATATAAATACTGAAGTATATATTTGGTTTATATATATATATAAATAATTTATAAATAGTGTATAATAAATAATAATAATAATAATAATAATATCATTTCTTTATAGGTGCCATTATACAAGGGCTATACCAAAAGTAATGCAAAAGAGTACAAGTGTCACTCAAATTTCACATGTTTTTAGGAAGTCACGTGTTAAACGTGACGCAACGCGTTGGTACGTGGGGAGGAACTTCCGGTAACGCGGTGACGTCATTTCCGGCGTAGGGGCCATATTGGATCACCCTTTTCAGATACCCATGCAGTACACCCATAGCATGTGGTAGAAAGCTGGAGACAAGACATTTTAAATGTGAGTGGAATACTTTTTAATTTAAATGCCTATCTAATAAACCGGTTACACTATGGAGGGTCTCTGCTTGTATTTTATGATGACCCTGGGAGGAGCTGGCTGCTAGTTTGGTGAAGGCTGGAGACGCTTACCATCAGTGAGGGGAATCCTGAGAGGAGTCTGTTCTTACAGGATCGGTTGATCCCTAAAGCGAGCTGGCCCTGTGGGGTCTAAGTAAGGAGGTGAGGGGGCATTTTGGATATTGAAGGATTGGCACGTGTGAATCATGTACACAGCACGATATTTGCATGAAAAGTGAAGTGGGAGGACCACTATAAGCATCGTGTTTTTTGGAAATTTTGGAACTAACTATTTGTTCACAGTTGATGTGCACCATTGTGTTTTTTTCACATTATTCAATTGGGGTTTTATATTTCACCATGTGCACTGGATATTCCCTATGAGAGGGAATTCATGGCTGACACTATTTATTGATTTATTTTTGTAAATTTCCCCGATGTGCACATTAAGGGGATGGTTTAATATGTATTAAGTTTGTGTATTTCAATCACTTATTCACTTATTTTTAGTATTGTTAGCACTACACTGTTTATTTTAATTGTTTCATCTACTTATTGGGTATAAGGTTAGTGTCAGCAGCTTTGAGGGCAGGACTCCATTTAAGCGCAGGAGGTTTTTCCATCTTTTTTACAGTAATTATTCGTCCTTAGTAACTCTTCTTTTTACAAGTCATTAACGGAATCCAAGCAGAAGCAGCATGATGTCATTGACTTCTTGACTAAGGAAACTGTCATCGGTGACTCTTGTCAATGGTGTCATATTTGTGAACATTTTGTAGCCTTCTGTGGATGTTAGACAGCCTGCACCCCTCCTTCATCAAGAACTTAATGATGGCATGTTGGTTCTCCTTTTAATCCATTATTTACCTGCATTGAAAAAGAAAAAAAGTGTTACTATAGAGAAGGGGTGTCAAACTGGCGGCCCTTCAGCTGTTGCGAATCTACAAGTCCCATCATGCCTCTGACTTTGGAAGTCATGCTTGTAACTGTCAATCTTGCAATGCCTCATGGGACTTGTAGTTTGGCAACAGCTGGAGGGCCGCCAGTTTGACACCTGTGCTATAGAGGAAGAATTACTCTACCAACATGAGAAATTGGAATGACCTATGTAAGTTATTAAAAAAGTTATGTCCATTTTTGCATTACTCTCAGTACAGTCCTCGTTTCCCTTTAACTAGTTGCCGACCGCAGATAGCCGAATGACGGCTGCACTGCGGCCGGCCACTTCTGGGTGGACGTCATATGACATCCCCTGATGATCGGTGCCCAGCAGTGCCACCCGCAAGTTCCACCCACCTGTGCCCAGCAGTGTGCCCACTAGCTCCGCCCACCTGTGCCCAGCAGATCACCCACCTGTGCCCAGCAGTGCACCCACCTGTGCCACTCTGCAGTGTCACACACCTGTGCCCAGAAGTGCCACCTACCTGTGCCCAGCAGTGCCACCCACCTGTGCCCACCCACCTGTGCCCACCAGTGCCACCCACCTGTGCCCACCCACCAGTGCTGTCAACCGGTGCCACCCACCAGTGCAGCCCAGCAGTGCTGCCAGTCAGTGCCACCAGTCAGTGCCCAGGGGTTGTGCCAGTCAGTGCCGCCAGTCAGTGCCCAGCAGTGATGCCAGTCAGTGCCGTCTATCAGTACCCATCATCAGTGTCACCTATCAGTGCCGCCTATCAGTGCTGCATATTAGTGCCGCCTATCCGTGACACCTCATTAGTGCTGTCTATCAGTGCCGCCTATCCGTGCCACCTCATTAGTACTGCCTATCAGTGCCCTTTAGTGCTGTCTATCAGTGCCCATCTTGTGCCGCCTATCAGTGCCCATCAGTGCTGCCTCATCAACGCACATCAGTGAAGGAGAAAAAATACCTGTTTGAAAAATTTTATAATAGAAACAAAGAAACTTTTTTTTTTTTTTTTCAAATTTTTTGCACTTTTTTTTATTTATAGCGCAAAAAGTAAAGCGCCCAGTGGCGATTAAATACCACCAAAAGAAAGCTCTATTTGTGAGAAAAAAATGATCAAAATTTCATATGGGTACAATGTTGCATGACCGCGCAATTGTCAATCAAAGTGCGGCAGCGCTGAAAGCTGAAAATTGGCCTGGTAAATAAGGGGGTATAAGTGCCTGGTAGGCAAGTGGTTAAAGAAGTGGCTCTTGATGTACAGTTGGTTTTAAGGACATGACGATGTATTTGCATAGAAATAAAACACACTATTTCAAATGAGAAATAAACTCTCTTTTTGATAAATGATGGTGGTTCAACCTTCTGTTTCAAGAAAGATAATGGCTCTCTTTGTGGAATATTATTGGATGCCTCTTTAGCCCTACGTGCTCTGACAGTGTATGTGTAAATCTCCAAAATGCAACACTTGCTGATTATGCTAGTTTGTAGAAGCCATCATTATTTTATGCCGAATGTTCCTGGGAACAATCGTTAGAGCAAGTTCCCCATTCTGGTGTAATGTTAGGTATTACAGAGCTGTTAAATATGTAACAACTCCCAAACAGTGTAAATAAGTCAGAGAGGTCCGCTTTCAGTCTTGATGCTACATAAATTTTGCATAAATATACATGCATTGATTTACTATATAACAAGCTTATAATTCCATTGTGACATCACGGTGTTAAGGAATGATTTTATAAAATATTAACGTATAGCCGGGAGTGTATTTCCCACGTTACGTCAATATGCAGCTGAACTTTGCTATGTTGACATTAATTCTCAATCTCTTGAAGAAGCTGTGAGCTCAATTTGCATCTTACATAACTGCAATGCAGGTCAGGAAAAATGAAGCTCCGCACTGACTATGTAGGATGCAATGATGTCATTGAAGTTACGGGGGCCATTGAGAACAGTCCTATATGGCTGTGTAGGTTTGAGCATTTGAAACAGACAAAAGAGACAACATACTTCCTTTAAATGTAATTATAAAAGCCTATGTTAGCACTAACTTAAAAATTGGTTACTAATTCACTTAGCCCCTAAGTAATGGGGTTGATTTATTAAAGGCAAATAGGCTGCTCATTTGTAAGGGAAATTGCACCGTGCAAAGGAATTTGCCTTAGAGATTGGTAAATGTGGTATAAAATTAAAGATATATATATATATATAAATATTTATATATATAGTACTGTTTTATGTCTTAAAGTGGAGCTCCAACCAAAAGGGGAAGTTCCACCTTAAGCCTTTGTCCCCTGCTCCCGATTAAGGAGGGTACCCAAATTTGACAGGTACTCTCTCCCACTTCCGCTGCGATTGCCTAGGTGATTGGAAGCGGAAGTTGTCCTCTCCCCTCCCTCCCCGTAGTCTTCTGGGACACGTGACAGGCCCCAGAAGGCTACGGGGCCATTCACAAAGCGCAGAGCTTCTCGCACATGTGCAGTGGGAACCCGGTTGTGAAGTCGCAAACTGTCACAGCCGGATACCCACACTAAAGATGCTGGCGCCAGGGGGAGAAGACAGCCAGCCGTGGTGAGGACACCACTGGACTCTGGGACAGGTAAGTGTCTGTATTTTAACCTCCTTGGCAGTATGATTCTTTCCGATTTTTTGTGCTGAAAGCGGTACCATTTTTTTGCATGGAAATATGTAGTTTTTTTATTGTAGGCTGTAATTATTAGGAATAACTCACTGAAATCTGTCCGAACAAGAGTCTATTAAACATCCCAGGTATGATAAAATTTAAAACAAGAAATCATAAATTATAATTTAATAAATAATCATAAAAAATAATAATATAATAATAAATTTAATTCAATAATATAATCAAACCAAAAACACTGAAATTTGAAATACAGAGGCAAATTCGCACATCGCTGAGCAATGTCGCAAAATCGTTTTCAGTGTCTGATGACGAATTTCCCCCACGAATCATTATTACTCAATTCTGCAAGTGGTTCTGATTTACTATCGCTGTTCTAAAACCGCTTTTGACGTAAAGGGACGCTTTTTGGACGCCATGGACTTTTCTCAGTTTCCAGGCAGAAAGAACATTCAAAATGCAGGCAGGGCGCCGGACAAAGCAGTAGGGACAAAATATATGTGAAATGCATTGAAACAGCAATGACAGCAAAAATGACATTTTTTTCAAATCCCTCACAGGGACCGGAACACAGAAGCCGGATGCCGGCATCGGCCGGAGGAGATGGCCGGGGACGCTGCAGGGGACACATCGCGGGAGCAAAGGACAAGGTAAGTGCTGCAGGGACCCCCAGAGCAGCGCCGCATGGTAAGCCCGAGTGTAGCTCGGGGTTACCGCTCTTTGTATAGAAATTTTACCCCGAGCTACACTCGGGAATACAGCTAAGGAGGTTAAAAGTCAGCAGCTACAGTTTTTGTAGCTGCTGACTTTTTTTTTTAATCCAGATGGAACTCCGCTTTAAGTCTTTGGAAGTTGTGAAAAAATGCTGTAAATGAAGAATGCTTTCACAAATAGAAGTGTTCATAGTTTATTTTTATCAATTAACAAAATGGAAACTAAATGAACAGAAATGAAATCCAAATCATATCAATATTTGGTGTGATTCCTGTTTGCCTTCACAGCATCAATTCTTACATTTTTCTTGGTACACTTGCACACCATTTTTAAAGAAACTCAGCATGTAGGTTATTGCAAACATCTTGGAGAACTAACCACAAATCTTCTGTGGATGTAGGCTGCCTCAACTATCTCTCTTCTGTCATAGTTCAGTCACTTAGCCTTGTGTCCCTGCCCCATGCATGAAAACATTGAAAGATTCCCCCTCTATTATTTCTGGGTTCATCCATCTCAGATGTATTTTTGCATGTTGGTATTTTTATAATCTGCAATTTTTTAAAAATAAAATCATGTTTTATATACATCTGATTTTTATTTGATATATGCAATCAATTTAATAAATCCTATTTCTATATTTAGTGGTTACTTTTATCTTCTTATTGGATTCTTGGCTGGTCCTGAAGAAGCTTTATAAGAAATGTATTGACCTGAGGGAATTTATTGTTATAAAGTGATATTTGTACAATGTATATTTTTGCATGGAATTCAGAATGTGTATGTAATTATACATGTTGTCAACTTACATAGTTACATAGTTAGTCTGCCTGGAAAAAGACAAAAGTCCATCCAGTTCAACCATTAAAAAAAAAAAGTTATAATCCCATACCCACAGTTGATCAAGAGGAAGGCAAAAAAAAAAAACCCCCAGCAAAGCATGATCCAATTTGCTCCTACAGGGAAAAGAAATCCTCTCTGATCCCCGGTGAGGCAATCAGATATTCCCTGGATCAACTTTACCTATAAATGTTAGTATCCAGATATATTCTGTGTATCCAAGAAGAATCCAGGACATTTTTAAGCAATCCACTGAGCTGGCCAGAACCAACTCTTGAGGAAGTCTATTCCACATTTTCACAGCTCTCACTGTGAAGAAACCTTTCCGTATTTGGACATTAAATCTCTTTTCCTCCAGATGTAAAGAGTGACCCCTTTTCCTCTGTGATGACCTCAGGGTGAATAGCTGTACACCGAGTTCACTATATGAACCACTGATGTATTTATACATGGAGATCATATCCCCCTTTATGTATTATACATGGGGATCATATCCCTCCTTATGTATTATACATGGAGATCATATCCCCCCTTATGTATTATACATGGAGATCTTCCCCCCTTATGTATTATACATGGAGATCTTCCCCCCCCTTATGTATTATACATGGAGATCATATCCCCCTTATGTATTATACATGGAGATCACATCCCCCTTATGTATTATACATGGTGATCATATCCCCCCTTATGTATTATACATGGAGATCATATCCCCCCGTTATGTATTATACATGGAGATCATATCCCCTTATTATGTATTATACATGGTGATCATATCCCCCCTTATGTATTATACATGGAGATCATATCCCCCTTATGTATTATACATGGTGATCATATCCCCCCTTATGTATTATACATGGAGATCATATCCCCCCTTATGTATTATACATGGAGATCATATCCCCCTTATGTATTATACATGGAGATCACATCCCCCCTTATGTATTATACATGGAGATCATATCCCCCCGTTATGTATTATACATGGAGATCATATCCCCCCTTATGTATTATACATGGAGATCATATCCCCCCGTTATGTATTATAAATGGAGATCATATCCCCCCTTACGTATTATACATGGTGATCATATCCCCCTTATGTATTATACATGGATATCACATCCTCCCTTATGTATTATACATGGTAATCGTATCCCCCCTTATGTATTATACATGGTGATCGTATCCCCCCTTATGTATTATACATGGTGATCGTATCCCCCCTTATGTATTATACATGGAGATCATATCCCCCCTTATGTATTATACATGGAGATCATATCCCCCCTTATGTATTATACATGGTGATCGTATCCCCCCTTATGTATTATACATGGTGATCGTATCCCCCCTTATGTATTATACATGGAGATCATATCCCCCCTTATGTATTATAAATGGAGATCATATCCCCCTTATGTATTATACATGGAGATCATATCCCCCCTTATGTATTATACATGGTGATCGTATCCCCCCTTATGTATTATACATGGTGATCATATCCCCCCTTATGTATTATACATGGAGATCATACCCCCC